TTCCATCTGCAGGTAACGATTTTATTTTTGACAGTAAGATGTGATATGATGATGCATTATTGTTCAAAAAATCTTGTTCACCTCCGGTTACTTAATCAGCGATGGCATGTATGGTTTTTTATCCTTGGTAAAATTGTGTTTGTTGATGAGCAAAGTTGGACACCAGGATTAGGACAACTGTAGGATTTAATAGGTTACAATTAGAATTGATAATTATTTGGTAGGAAAATCAACAGATAAGTTTTCTCCTTATCTCATGCATACTGACTTTCATATACTTCATATGATGATTATGGCTTATAAATGATTAAATTCAATAATTAGCGCGTGACCGGCATGTTCGCTTCAACAATGTGCATTTTATTTGTTCCGAACGTTCGCAGTTACTCTTGTTCAACTCAAGAACTATTTGAGAGTGCGTAGTACATTTAAATAATAATTATTTCCTTTTTTGTTTAAATAACCCAAAAATTAAACATCATTTTCATATCCATTTATAATTATTTGATATTATTTATTTGCGTATTCTAAAAACGATCAAAAAGTGTGTAAGAGCGAGTATAGAATAAAGTAAGAGAATGAGTTTAAATATCTAAATAAGTACTCAAGTACAAATAAAAATAAATCAATCGGTAGATAAATAAGTTAAAAATAAAATTCATGAAAGATCATGTCAAGTAATTTATTTTTAATTAAATCTTTCTATTCAATGTTTCCATTCTCTTGATCTTGTCTCCATTTTGTTGTTTGAAAATTATAGCTCTGGAATTGCTGCCAAGTAATGTTGGCCACTCAATAATTTTATTGTACACGGTAACTCATTTTTAATAGTTAAAGTCTCTCCTCTCTGACTAATCCTTACTTGTTATCTACGTTTTCTGATTGGTCGTTTTCATAAGTAAATAACTTGCTCATTTTTGCACATATTGCAAAATTGCAAAGTACGTTTTGCTTAGAATTCTCTCTAGTTTCTGTGTGTAAAATCTTTATACATAATTATCGATCACCCTGTATAATAAGTAATAGAAAAAGTTCAACAATAGTTTTTAAAAATGAATTCTTCAGAATATCGACTATTTAAATCAATTTATTACTATATGCAATTATAGTAGTCATGTCAGTGACAACATTGTTTCTGAGATGACCACTATAATTCCTAATTTTTTTTAGTTATATATCAAGTGACTCGGAAAACCATACACATACGGAAAAACATTTAAAGTAAGATAACTATTGAGAAACGCAATAGATATTCTCAATTATTAAATAATAAATTATTAAGATGAGTATTTATTGAAAATCATACATAGTTTTTTATATGTTTATCTTTAGATCGAGGTTATAAGGATTAAAATTGTTAAATTTTGTAACGAAAGATTTTTAGTGCAGATTATGAATAGAATTCAATTAATAACTTTTCAGTTGAAAGTTATTGTAATCGATCCGTCTTGTTCAAGGTCCCTGGAGTTAAATACATGAATACACAATTATTTCTGAGTAGACGTATGCTTGTGTGTGTACGTTTGTACGTGCGTTCGAAATTATTTTTTATTTCGAGTATCTCGAAAATATAGAATAATATCGACTTGGAACTAATTATATTTGAGCATACAAGTGGTATAGTTCTATTCCTTGAATTAGAAAAAATAATAAAAATGATGATATATGCAAGTCAAGTTGATAGATAAGAATTATTAACGACTGGTAATTCAACTGCTCTATTATTTGATAATAAGAAGTCTGTTCATGTGGCTAAATAAGTTTCCTGAAATGTTTTGTATCAAAAAAAACCTTGAAATATGATCGAATAAACGATCTATTGATGGTTTGACTGAAAGTTATTCTAGTTTTGCAAGAGACATTAAACCTAAGCAAATACAGTGCTTCAGGCTTAATAAAACTGTACGCCAAATATGAATGACAAGGACGACAATAATTATTTATAGAATGCTATTTTTATGAACCATCTTCTATAAAATAATGAAAGAAGTTCTGAAATCATTAAGAACCAATTTTTTTGATTCTTTAATGTATTAGGTTTAGGGTAAATTCGGAATACTTGCCTAACTGCTTAGATAATCATACTTTTTCAACTTTAACTAGTATCATACAAAGGTACTCTGAAATATTTTATGAAAACTTAATAAAATTATATAATATTTAAGTGTATAAAAAAAAAATATTATAAATTGGGTACGTAAATCTTAGTTAGACATAATGTTTTTTTCGTAATGCCTAACCTTATAAAATAATACAAAGAGTCGAGTCACTTACGGTGGAACCGGATAGGTGATACATAAAAAAAAAAACGATCTGATACGGGAATTTATACTTGCAGATTGATAGTCTTCGATAAGAAAATTATTGAAATTTGACGAATTAGTTAAAAAAAATAGTTTTTTAATCTTCTAAAAAAGAAGAATCTGAGAGTGTCGATATCAGTATTGATCAAGAATTGAATTTTTTTTATTTGATCTTTCAATCAGAGTAAATTTTCAGTACATAGTGATATTTTCATGTTATGTCGCTGTTACATAACTTCGTTATATTTGTTTTGTTGCAACAATATAACATTGGCCTCACATGCACTTTACTATTTCTCGTTCAACAACGTAACATTATTATGTTCCTATTATGTTACGATAACATAACCTTTATGTTATTGTAATGTCACAGGCTTGAGTGGGTAATAAGACAGGTTGAGATTCGATCCGAATTTGGATCCTAAATGTAACACCTTCAATAGTTCGATCCAGAGCAGGCTACTTTACATGACTTTAACCAGGGTACCTTAGCCAGGTTTTGATTATAATTTTTTTTGTATTAAAAACAAAAAATAATTAGATAATTATTTTTTTATGATTATTACATGAGAAATATTATTAATTGATTCTACTCTTTTTCAGCGAAGAAAACTGTACAACATGCTAGATTTTCAAGAAAATTTGAGCTGTGGGGGTTAAACGATACAATTACTCTTCTGCTAGCGAACAACCAACACTAGATTTTAGAAATAAAAAAAATCAGCACTACATATTCAACGGGTTGTTTTTAAATTAGCATATAAATTTAAAATCTTTTCTGGAAAGAAATCTATGTTTGTTAGTTCCAAAAAGTGAAGCCGAATCGTCGGTTGGAGCCGAAGGGATACATAGAGACAAAGTGAATAAATATTTTTTGTCATATTCCTACGTAAATTTCAATTTTACTCCTTCTTTAGAGTCAGTGAAGTCCGACGTTTCTTCCTGGCATAAAATAATAGAATTTGTTTGTGTGCATGCCAACACGCATGTTTTCTTTCTCGTCAAGGCATAACGTCTCGCTTTACTAACCACTAAACTGCACTTCGAGTTGCTGATTGACTACTTCGGTGGAGTTAGATTTACTGTAAATTGCATTCACTATAAAAAGAAGTTTCTACACTATTCTAAAAGTAGTTGTCACCACTACCTGGACGAAATTCAATGCTTCCGGTTATTATTATTGTTTTAATATCATTGATATAACTAATCATAAATAGTCACTTCAACTAATTTTTCAAATTGCTGATTGACTACTTTCAGGAAGTTGAATGCTAAAAGTTTTATATAGTTCACCGTACTACTCCTTTCACCCAACTACTTACGAGTAGTTGACTCAACTGTATATCCCTCAACTATCGTGGATAATTACTTCAACCAGTTTTCTAGTTGCAGCAACTATTTTTCAGTTACCGCAACTACAAATATTACTTGCCATAACTAGTTTTCTTTTTTTGATGTAGATAGTTGACTCAACTATCTCGATTTTTCTCAGTGCACCATGTAAATTAACATGTCTAGAGTAGCAATAGATGCTCAGCGCCAAGTCAACATTCACCTTCTCTCTCGTTCTTTCTCTTTTTCTTACCAGCACACCCCTTTCTCCATGAGCACCAAGGACTAATAGAAAAGTGTAGAATACGCTTATGTAGTATAAACAACAGATAAAATTTTTATTAATTTTCAATTAGTTAATATATTAATTATTAAAATACATTTTTGCTTTTGTAGAAAAAAGTTTTGGTTTGTCTTTCGGAATGCATATTTTTTATGTTATAATCTCTATTTATTTACATTATTAAAGGAATATTCTAATAAATATTCTACTTATCGGATTCACGGCATATTGAATATAACTCTTAATTAACTATCGAATTTACAATAAGACACTTTCTCTAGTTCATTACAGTCACATTGATGCTTGTCATTTCATTCTCCTGACATTAAAAAATTCGGACTTGTTTTAAGAAATACAAACATTTTTTTTCACTCTTCTTTTGCCGATTTTCTTTCATAGATAAAAAGATCATATAGTAATGTTTATTATAGCAACAATTACTATCAATACTGTCATTACAGCAACGGTTACTATGACTACTGCTACGACACCAACGGGTGAGTTTTAGCTGGTATGGATGTATTACTAATGATTGTACATTATTATACAATTTAGACGTAATTATTCATGATGTGAAGTAAAATGAAATTACTGTTTTTTTATAAGTGCACATAAAATGCAAGTCGTAAGATTCTTTTCATTCTGTAAGTCATCGATAATTGGTAGTAATTTTCAGCTGATGGAATCGGTAGTTATGTGAAGAAATTAGCAGATGACCTAGTGAAATGCGGCACGGATGTGTCAGATTTTGATTCGTTGCTAACGACATTGCGTGATCGCGTTGAATCTGTATACATCGATGGCGGTACAGTCCGGGTACGAATAAACCAAGGGGCCAAATCTGGGCTGACACTGCGTCACAGCTCTCGGAGTTTGGATGTAGGCTTGCCATTTCCTAATGGCCCAAGTTTGAATAAGGTTTGGACTGACGTTTTCGCGCCAAGACTGCACACTAGGTTTAAGCCAGGTCTTAAAACCAATTTTTGCCCGGACTTTATATAAATTTACTGATAATAAGACAAACCAAATGATAATTGCAAACATATCATCATTAAAACACTATATAACTCATATTCATTTTTACTATCAAAATTTAAATTAAACATTTAAAAATATAATTAATTCTGTAAATTCTACATTTGTACCTAAACTTCGGATAAGTCTAATCGTAAACAATACAGCTGAGTAAAATAATAGTGCACTTTTTAATTTAAAAATCATGATTAATCTAAAGAAGAAGCAAGAGTAATGTTTTAACAAATGCGTCTTCCACCCTCACGGTCTTCACTACTAACCAACTATGTACTGGTTACACTTAAAATTTTCAATAATTCGTTCAAATTTTCATAGTTTACTCCTATAAACTCTGAAAGAAGACATTTATTTCATAGCACATCAGTTAATAGATTATTAACTACCAGGTGATAAACTGACATCATAAAAATTATCATTTCATTATACCTTTATGAGTTCTTCAGAAATAGTTGTACATTAAAGGTGCTGAAGTTCAGAGTCATTAATTTAACTATTCTCCAATATTGGATCTTCATTCATATTTCAATCACTATCTATTTTGCACTAAAATTTTCTGCAGGAGTTAAAATGCGTATTGTTTTTTTTTTCAATTTTTTATAATAGTAAGCTGAGGTTGAGCATCAAAAATATGAAGGTTAAAAGATTTTCCTGTCAAAAACTATAAAAGAGGTTGCTTAAAGGATTATAATATGAAAAAAATCAAGATAAACATAATATTGTTCATACGTGTTTAGAAAAAAACTGAATCTTGGTCTTGTCTTGTCATTTACAACTGGCCCAGACTACAACCAACTCCTTTGAACTTTTTTTTGTCATCCTTATGAAGAGCTGTTAAGCAATCTGAAAATAAAAGAATTTATTTGAATCTCTAATGAATTGATTTAATTTTTTAATTTCACAGGCTGACTTACCATGTTCTTTTAATAATTAGAGTAACTTTTCGAGAGAGTTACCATTCAGATCTCTTTATGATGCTCTTTTATTTTGAAGGTCTTTCTAAGTAAGAAATATCCTACATTTTTTTTAACATAATTTTTTATTAAAGTTACTATTTTACCTTTCATTTGTAGCATCACTTTTACTTATTCCTTAACTGTTGATGGTAATTTTCGATTTTTAGGATGTGCCAAGTAGTATTCCTAAAAATATATTATAAGCATATTTAAACTAACTATCATACGATTTATGTATGTAACGTAGAAAATTTTCGTCGAAAAAGAGTTTTCTTCAACCTCACAGTGGATGATTTTTATGAGTTAAATTCCAGTCATAAATTTGTAATTTATTGTTCTTTAAATGAAACGTAATAAATGCAGGGCAATTATAACGAAATTTTCTGGAATACGAAAATGACATTTAAAATTCTATATGATAGTTTATTTACACGATAATATGAGTGCAAACATGCAGAATGAAATTTGCTTCATTCTATTGCAATAATGTGATTGCAATTTGATAAAATGAATTAAATATGTAATATTCTGCCATAAAATTTTTCAGAAGTAGATTATATAGCATAGATTACGGAATGTTTATAATTATTTATTATTTGTTATTTCGTTCACCTCTTGATTCCGTAGTTTCATCATCTACGAACTTACATCGATATTCGATATTGGAATACACTAAGACATCGTTAGGAGGTTTAATTTTCATAGATCGTTTGTTCACAAAAATTATTGTTGTAGATGACTATATGCTTCTATTTTACTTTCTAATTCTCCATACGAGTTAAAGGAGTTTTCTCTTTTTAGAACAATAATATTCTCCATTTCTCTCATGTAAATAATTTAATACTAATAATCATACCATTCGAGTCAGAATTTTGCTCTTATTTTGCCGCTGAAACTCCTGAAAGTCAGGGGGTCCAGCAGAAAGTAGAGAAAAATCGTTAGTATTCCCGGCGGTCACCCATCTAAGTTCTGTACACGAGAAATTTTGCTTAACGTCCAGAGATCGAGTCCCGACCCCTGCATCCACTGCGCTGTGTCGAATTTAAAAATATTTTTTTTTCTACTTATTTAAATCCACAATAATTAATATTATAAGTGAAATACTATTAATGGTAACTCAATCTTAAAATAAACAATTAATTAAAATATACAAGATAATAAAAAAAATATTTAAAAGTTGCAATTAATAATCACTGATTATTAAAAGTAACTTAATAATTTTGTTTAAAATAAATATTAATAAAAAGAACTGAATGCTATTAAAAATAGTTTATAAAAATATTCTGTACTCGGTAGTAATAAAATAATCATATTAACTATAATAATGTATTGTTACAAACAATCAAATTTTATAGAAAATATTTCTTCACCATTACTAACTATTAGAAATTATTTTAAATCATTACAAATAATTTATGAATGACGAAAACGATACAATAATCATTGTTTATAAAGTGGAAGCTCCATAAAACTTCTTTATATAAACAATAACAAAAATACGTGAAATTATTAAAGCCAAGTATCTAAATATGACGACTAATTATATTTAATGAAATAGAATTGTATTCATTTTTCGTTGAATTATTATGTAAATATTTACATGAATTAAAGACAAACTCTACATAATGAGATGGAAAAAAATTTCAATAAATGGAAGAAGTTGACAGCATTGCAAAATTTATCTTTTTTATAAAAATTTATTTAAACTCAATAAACTTGGTGTAGCTATTACAGTTTCAGATAAAACAATGCACAATGATACAATAGCAATTTACTGTCATAGATAAGTAATGGGGTTACAAAAAGTTTCTTAATAAACTTTATGTCATTATTGCACAGTAATTAGAAATTTAACGACGCATAACCTAAAAAATTCTAATCTGAGCGAAATAGAGACACGGTAGTGCCATCGTCACCGCTATTCATAATTGGTGCTCGAGACACTATCCTTTCCTATATTTTGAATACATCAACATATCCCTCCTTGTCTATCCTATGGGATTTGTTTACGTTGTGTTTCGTTTAGGCACGTTTATTATGATAAAATACTCGCAATGAGTGTGACAAGCGCTGTCGTATCGCTTTGTTTCTCTCACAGCAGTATCGTGCCCAAAGGGTGTTCAATATTTTCATTGTTTGGAATTTTTCCAACCTTTAGAGGTCAATAATTTTTTACCTGTTACAGGTAAGGTTGCAAAGATGCGGACTTTTTTATGTAAAATTGTAGCCGCTACAACTTTTGTTTAAAAAATTTTTTTTCATATCTGTTATAGTTCTTGAAAAAAATAAGAACAAACATGAAAAAATGCATAAAAAAGCGTTGAAAGGGTGATTTCAACCCTTGCCCAGTGTCGGAGCTCACTTTTTTTTAGGGGAAACTAATTCTACATCCCCTAAAAATATTCTATTAAAATTTTATCCATTTCAAGATTTCCCGTTTCAAAATCTAATATGACTGGACTAATGCGGGACAATATGCGCGCGCTCAGTAAAATTTACTGGGCAACCCAGTAAAAATTCGTAGGTAAAAAAGTTTTTCCAGCTTTAGAAATTTCGCTGAGTTACTATAAATTAATGAAAAAGAAAAAGTATCGTTTTTTTAAAACCAGTTTCTTATGATACATTTTCTGATTTATGGCATTGATAATTTGAGAAATATTTACACAATCATTTTCTATATCTTTTAAAGTAAATATTTCAAAATCTGTGGGCGAATCAGTAATAATTTTATAGGCATCGTAATAAATGTTATACTTGGTGTTGTATATATTACGGAATAAAAATACATCAAATTGATTTCTCAATATAAACATATATTCACACAAGAAAGCGCAGCTCTTGCTACTTTTTTTTCTGCACGGTGTTTGCTCTCAAACCTTACGGACGATGTATTTCCTAATAAACTAATTCGTTTTATTATGGCTGCATAATGAATCAATAGATGACTTTTAACACTAGTTCTTTCATTGTTAGAGAAAAGCCTTTTTTGTTCTGTTAAATATTTTTTGAGTTCTGTTTTTTATACTGAATGATTTTTGGGTAAATGCGCTGACTATGGGTAAATACTACAAGTCTCCCCATCATTAAATATAATTGCCGATATGGATTCCCATATGGTATTAGATAACCAATCATTAAACTTAAATTTGAAACTAAATAATACATTTCACCAGCACACATGGTGATACATTCCTTTTTAATGTGAGATTCAGCTAGCTCAATCGGTCGACTTCATTCGTTGATATCATAACAATATCATATTAAAAGAAGATAATATTAAATCTATAGTTAGTGAATATTCATTAAATGAATGTTTTAAGCCCGCAGTAACACCATTACATCAACTTAGAAATGAAAAAAACATCTCTCCTAAAATACCATTATTGAACGATGATAATGTAAATATATCAATGAATGAAAGACAATATGCCACCTCGAGAAAGAGAAAATTCAATTGTCAGATGCTGGATATTTTCACTATTTATAACGATAACATGAAAAAAAGAGACGTGAAGAAATCAATCAAAGCAAAGAAGTTGCAGCAGTATTAAAAGCTGTGAAAAGACCGATCTCTATAAAAAATTTGGAACGTGAAATGATGAAAAATACAAAAGTATGAGATAAAAGAGAAGAAAAAGAAGCAGAAAGGAAAGACAGAGAAGCTACAGGCGAGGAAGAAGAAGCGGTGGGAGGAGAAAACAAGGGATTAGTAAAAAGAATGGAAGTTGTAGAAGAAGAAGAAGAAGATCAACGACAAAAGCCTACTGCAAGTATGATATCAAGTACCCTTCTCAAAACCACCGAAACAATAAATAAATACATAAAAATGCTCAGAGATAATAATCAAAATATGGATACAAAGTGTGGTGTAAGAAAACTTCGAGGAAATATGCTTTATATTGGAGATTCAGAAATTGTTTTTCAAGGTGATAAAATTCTCATTGCTGATCGAGTTTATAGAAGCACACCAGGGCTACTTGAATTATTATTTAAAAAACTACCTAATAAACTTGCTCTTGATGAAAGAGATGAGAGAATTTATGGTGAAATTGTTAAATATACAAACTTGGCTCGAAAGAATTATAATCCAAATCAAGAGCTGAGAACTGATCATAGTAAAAAATACAATATGTATGTTGCAAAGTATATTGGTCGTGGATTATCAACCAAAATGAGGAAATTTTTACCTCAATATAAAATCTCAATGAAAAATCAATCAACAAATTCCACCTACTGGGATGATTCTAACGAGCTCGTTGATCGATTGCGGCTACTTATAGCCTCCTACAATGCAGGAAATAATGCTCATTCAAAGGAGATGATTTTAATCATTGAAGAGCTTAGACAAACAAATTTTATAAAGTAAAAATTTCACCCAAAATTTTTATAATATATAAGTCAAAAATTGAGTATCTCTTATTTGTGTAGTGGCTACCGCACAGTTTATACGCTACAATAAAAAAATGAGTATCAATCGTCATGGTCAATATTGGACTCCTAGTTACAATCAACTTCGGAGCCCTCCGGGAAATGATTTCAAATTAACTAAGGATAATAATTATGATATTGATGGTAAAAAATTGTGTAATATAGATAATGCTATAGATTTAAGCGATGCTGTGTCATTGAGGATTTTAAATGATACTTCTGAAAAATTGAAAAAGCAAATTCAATTACTTGATAATAGAGTGAAAGGATTTAATAGAATAACAACGGATGTAGCATTTAAAGTTAAAAATGATGTAGCAGCATCAGTAAAAAATACACTGGAAACTCATACATCTTCTACAACCAATTCAATCAATTCAATGAATTCAAAGTTAACAGCACTTCAAACCGAGTTGAATGAATTAGAGATGATACTTAAAAAAGGTATATAATCTGAAGTATAGTCAGAAATTAATCATTCTTGTGTTAACTTTTGTGGTATTCACATCATTTTCTAAAAAAACGTCTTGGAGAGCATTGGGAATCTACTCCCGGTCTAGTGAGAGGACCTCCTGGAATTGGTTTCCAATTAACTAATGACGATCAGTTTGATATTGATGGAAAACGATTGTGCAATATAGCTGATCCCATCGATTTAGATGACGCAGCGTCATTGAAGAGTGATAATAATATTGTGCATCAAGAATTTAAAAACTTACATGAAATACTGTTGGTAGATTTGAATGAAGCAATAGATTTATCGCATAATGAAACATCATCATTAAGAGAATC